ACAGAAAAATCTGATTGATGAATTAGAACAGCAAATTGTGTAGCAGTGCCATTAATCATTTTCATACACGTAGCAGTAGATGTAAAATTGTTTTTATTTATCGAGTATCTTCAACACTGAGATCTTGTGAAATAGAGAAATTTCACGTTTCTCTTAAAGATGTCTCAAAATCTTCGCTCTACACATATTCTCCCTAATTGCAGGAGACGTGATTCATGTGATGCTTTCTCTGTGAGCATATTTATTTTGTGCCTACCATAGCATATTTATTCTCATCATCTTCGTGCTCATCAATTTATGAATATTTTATTTATGTACTTTTTTGTTAGATAAAAGAAAAAAATGATTGAAAACTTCATAAGGTAAAGATGGCTGGACCCGATGGCCCCTCTAATTAAGAACGGAAAAAACCTATTTGTACAAACAAACATATGAATAATAACAAAGGGTGCATTATGGCTATAATGATACATGTGAGCAAGATCAGAAAAATAACACAGTATATCATCTACACATCCACCATCACTTTTGAACCTTAAAGCACAGCTGGCACATCACATTTGTGCATCAAGTCAACAACAATCAACAAACACAGATCTTAATTCCATTCCAAGTTCCAGCAGGGTTCCTGAACTAGCTGTTCTCATCGCTGTGAGGATCAGCTTGTCAGGAACAACTGATTAGCCGCAGCAGCAGAGGCAGTCGAGGCAGCACTCGCAGGTCTCGTGGCAGCAGAAGCAGCAGCACGCTGTGAAGAGGCTGCCAAAGATGAGGGATGGATGATGAGCAAGCAAGAGGTCCGAGGAACCGAGGAGAGTGACAGGAGAAGGATTCAGTCACCATGCGTAGAGGCAGCCCTCTGTCGTGGTGGCGCTTCTGGACGTGCCCGTAGTAGGACATCTGCGTAGCCGGAGGGTTATACATCATCTGCTTGTGTTCTACACTTCTACTTCTACTACCGGAGGAGACGAAGAGTTTACGAGATAATAGGAAGCTTTTGTTGAAGCTGTATATGTGCCTGCAGCTCTGCTGTGTCTCAGCTCAGCTCAAGGCGGTCACGTGTCACTCTCAGACAGCTACTTCCTGTCTTCCTCGGGTATGCAAGTATCAGTGCTACTACCTGATTGGCCCACGTGGATCAATAATCTCGTATCCGAAAGGATCATGCTGTACTAGTAGTTAATCTTGTTTGACAGCGTATGGTAGACACGTTAACGGATGTCTGGAGTAGCGCAATAAACGAGTGTTCATTAAGAGATGCGGTGGCATTCAACATCAGGTGAGAATTCACTCAGGATTCAGACAATATATACCATATATATATATATATAAGAGGCATATACAGGGCACGAATTCATTTCTTACTTCTCCAGTTGTATATACGTATGAACTTATCCATATTAACGATGTACATACATTTTGAAGGCTCTCCAGTCTCCACAGCTGGATACAAATAATTCTCAGAATATTAGGTAAGACCATGCAAACATGGATCCTACTTATAATACAAAATAGCAACCAGCAAGTAGATAACCTAAGCACAACATTCTGAAAGAGATGGATTGTGTGTCAGCCAGCCTCAGCTGTTCTTGTTTCCTTCCCACCATACTCCATATTTGTCCACATAATACAATAAAAAATAAGCATAAGCTATTTGCCACGAAAACAACAAAAAGAAAAGCTGCAAACTTGTTACTTGTCATCCTCCCATGATGCACACTGTCCAGACTCCAGATATACAGAGCAGAGAGCAATCTGGTAGAATCAGACAAGATTCAGGCAAGAAGAAAACACATGCCCATTTCAAGAATACGCCATGCAAAATTCAAAATGTCCCTTTGTCCTCAAACCATCAACTATTAATTACAGACTTTGACAGGGGGTTATGCATACAGAAGGTAACAAAATGCCTTTGTGCATCCCCAGTGAAGCAAGCAACTTCATCTAGCTACCAAGTGGTGAAAACGGAGCACATTTTGTTGCAATCTCATATTCTCAAGTCACGGTAGGGGCAACAAGACGAGACGACGAAGGGGGCGCAGGAAAGCTCGCGTCTGCGGCGATCACCGGTTGGTGATACCCACGAGCAGCGCTCCGCTCCAGCTGCTCCCACATGAGCCTCCGCCGCTCCACGGTGGCAGCTTGCTTCTCCTCTTCCTCTTGGAAGTTGTTCTGGCAGGCGAGAAGCAGCCTCTCATCCATTTCGCAGAACATTTTCCGCACGTTCATTGTTACATTGAGGACTGATTGGTTCCAGTGCCAGCGGGTGTTCCTCTCCAGAGCTGGGTATATAATCGGTAGGATCACTTGACGGTTTTGGGAGATCATATCGAATAGGTGCTCGTTGTTCCATAGGAACAAGGCTCTCTCTGCAACCTGCAAAAAGCATGCCAAAGAAAAGCAGTGCTTGAGTTTCAAATGCTAACTCCTTTACGCTTCCCCTTTGGTAGGGATTCACAGGGCTCCAGATTCACCTGACAAAAACACTTTTGCAACACTGTTCACAGGAGCATTTTCCTCTCTCCTCTTCTCTCTCACAGAGCTGGTGGGAGCAGGTGAAGCCAGTTTTTTCAGCTCCACCGGCTCTGTGAGAGGAGAGAGGAGAGGGAAATAGCTCCCGTGAACAGTGTTTTTGTCGGGTGAATCTGGAGCCGGTGAATCCCTACCAAAGGGGGCAATATGCATGTATTGTCGAACATGCAAGTGACATGAACAAAGACAGTAACAATCGCAAATGTCAGCCTGTTCAGAACCCTCCATTTATGTATCTTATTTAATTGACGAAGACAGATGAATACAATATGCTGTACATACAAGGAAATAGGAGTACACAAAATTAGTGCACAAAATCCATAGACAGTACAGATTGAAAATCATAATTCTACCTAGCTGATTGTCAAGCCCCACAAAGTGCAAATGTCTACATCTTTGATTCATTGAGGAAACTCGAGTATTTACAAGAGCAGCAGATTTTTTACAATTGCCACACATTAACACCCCAAAGATTCCTATCATCTGCCTTTGGACCGTGGACTTATTCGTGACCTAAGATTTCTAGAGTACACTAGAGACCAATATGAGGCAGAATTAGAGAACTGTCTGGCATTTCCTATTCTATGGTAAAAACAAATGGCCTGAAGCCTCATAAAGGAAAGTGGCCACCAACTAAACTTAAGCCGATAACATAAGTGTGTGGTCTCACTTTAGCCAACAAGAAAATATTTTAACCACTGATGAAATTCTTATCATTAATTAGTAATCACTATGTCATAAAGGCACAGGGGACCATGTAAAGGGACACTAATAAATCAGAAAAGCAAGGCGAAAAGGAAAGGGGTCAAACAGACTCTTCAATTAAAATAAGCGAAAGATTCATCTGGCAAACAACAGTGCAACTATTACTTGATTAAAAAAATCTTAAATCTGTGTATGTAACCATTATTAGAGAAACTAATGATTACACGAGCATATATTCCTGTTAGTATTTTTTTACCAAGGCAACTGTTATGAGCACAAGACCAGAACAAAATATAAAGAGTGAATCTCACCTGAAAATGAGAGCTATTCAGGCAACTAGCAATCTTCCAAAATAAGGGAACCATGCACTTCTGAAATTCAGCCATGTCAGTCAACTCCAGCACCTCCTCCAACTCCCCCAAAAACATTATTTCCTTCTGACTATTTGTAACTGGCCAGTACTTTAACAGGCCTCTGATCACAGTCCCAGAAAGCTTTGGTTCCTTCTCAATAAATTGTGTGATGCAATATGTCAGCTGTGGCAGATACACTCCCACTGATTTCGGCTTATGAAGTGGTATCAATGCTTTCCATAAGAACAACTTATGTTCCTCCTTCAATGGCTTGGCAAACCCACTTATTACACTGCCAAAGACCTCCAACAGCTCGGCAATCCCATTGTGATGATCTGTCTCGAACACAAACCTATAGAAGATATTGCTCACAGCCTTACGGATGAATGGTCGGTTTCCCATGAACTTGCCATATATCCTATGCAATATTGTCTTCAAGCAGTCCCTTTCTCTCGGGTCATCCGAATCAAACAGATCGAGCAGCTTGGAGACGAAAGGGCTATCCACATACTTCCTAGCCACCTTAGCATCGACGAGTGGCGAAGTCACAAACCTAAGGAGAAACTCATAAACGACTTGCAGGTGGTACCAGGACGGATCGAAGAAGGGCTCGTCCTCCTCGGTCTCCGAAGCCGAGGTGCCAGACCGGACTTTGGGCGGGAAGACCCTGAACAGGTTAGCGGCGAACATGCGCACGCACGCTGCTATCATTGTCTCCGTGAGGGGCTCCTCAGCGGCGCCAATGCAGTCAACCAGGGACATGAGCATCTGCCGCTTCCGCTCCTTCTCCGGCGAGTCCTTGCCCCGGTCGGAGAAATCGTACACCGCGCAGCAAATGTTAACCTTCTGGACAAAGGCGTCCTCCCTGGACCTCACCTCGGCTCCGGCTCCGGCGCCAGCCGCGGGAGAAGGAGGCGAGAGGTTGGGCTTCGCCGTGGCCCCATTCACCCGCGGCGAGGCCCCGTTCTCCCGAGGCGACGATAGGGGCGGCGGCGGCTTCGCAGGCGGCGAGCCCGCGCCCCCGCCGCCAGAGCTGGATTTCATCGCCTTCCACGACAGCTTTCCAATAAATTGCTTCCACATGTCGGCGAGATCCGGCGGCACCAACAACACATCAAATCTCCCCAATTAAACGACCATTCCGACAGGACCGGCCTCCTCTCGGCAGCACGGACACGGGGGGCGCGCGGCGAAATCCCCGGCCTTAAAAGAGCGCGCTTGGCAACGGCGACGAGCGGCCGATCCTCCCGCAGCGACAGCAAGAGATCACGAGGCGCGCTGCACCCGCCGGTACAGATCAACCACCGCCCCCCGGTGAACGCACCGAGATGAGAGGGAATGCCACGCCGCGCCCAATAAAACCGGGCCGGGACCGCGACGGCGGGGAGGAGGCCTGGCAGGGATCCGGCAATGGCGGGCTCAGCGACAGATCCGGGGGCGGGAGGCGGCCATGGATGGGATCTCGGGAGGAGGGGAAAGGGCGTGGAGAGGTGGGGAAATTTTGGCGTTTTGAGGAGGGGTGGTGGTGGGCTGGTGGCAGGGGAAGGGGAGGGCAGCCGCTGGCGGGGAGGGGAGGAGGCGAGAGGACACTCTCCGAGTGAGCGAGCGAGCTGCACTGCTGGTGCTGCGCTGCAAGGACGATGGATCGCCCGCTCGGCGCGGTTGGAACGTCGGATAGGGCGTTTCGAGCTTCCTCAGCCGTCAAATCTCGGACCTTTTTTATGGCTGGTTTCCTTCTTTCGCTCTGGAAAGGCGTACGGGTATGAACTGCATGATGGTGATTGGATAATGGGAAATCAGTTGTAACGGCTGGGGAAATAATCATTCGGTTGTTTCTTTTTTTAGCGACGGCACATGTTCAATTGCTAATTTCATAGTGACCCGCCACCATTTTTATCATTCTGTTTCTTCTTTTTCTACTAACACTTCGAGCAACATCGATAAAGACATTTCAGCTAGCTCGTACAAACCCGAGTTAGCATTTTAACTACGTAAAAGGAGAGAGAAAAAGGGAAAAAGAGAAGAGCCAACTCTTATCCCCACGCTAGGCTCCGACGAAGTTATGAGGTCTGCAGCAACGGCTAGATGTGAGTAGGTCCTGATGCGGTTGGAGCACAAGCGGGTCGCGGCGGCTAGAGCGTGAGCGAGTCCCGAAGCAAGCCACGGTAGGGATGGTGACACTCGAAGCAAGTCAAGGCGATGGACGGAGTAAACTCCATCGGTGGCACCGCGGCAACGTCTAGAGCGGCGGTGGGCTAGCAACTGCCCAGGCGAGCGGGGGCTAGGTCAATGGCAACTTGCTACGACCTAGGGTGCGAGTGAGGCGGCTGTTGTCCTTAGACCAGGCGTGATCCAGGAGGAAGAAAGTGGGTGGGAAAAAGGAATGTGTGGGACCTATTGTAGGGTGTCTAAGTTTGTAGTCGTTGGAGGTTCCCTTACCACTATAGAGATATACACATTGCTCACATACCAATGAAACCCTTGAGTTTCTGGCCCGCTTACACCTCCTAAACAACGACCATGTTAGTTAACTAAAATATGAACACTCATCTAAGTCGAAGTTTTAGGGTTTGTTTAGGACTCTTCTCAAACTCCACCGTGGAGCAGTTTCAACCAAATCCTGGAGTTTTTACTTTTTAGAGCATCCCTTAGGTGCTCTCTCAACTCTTCCTTTTTTCCTAGAGCAGAGTTTATGGAGCTCTCTTTGGCTGAAAAACATGGAGCGGAGCAGTTCTAAATAGACTCTCAAACTCAAATGAACATTTACAAAGAAACATGCTCGCCTTCTGATCGACTAGGCTTCACTCATTTTATATCGGATTTGTCACCAATTTTGGATGAGTTGATGTTTGAGTTTTGATTGTGAAGATACAAGCTCCGTGCTGGCAAAAGGTTGAGTAGCAAATCTTAAAACATCAAGATAGTAATGAGAAATATCAAGTTCTATCATTGATGGATGATATTAGTTGGGTTATAATTGTGGTTCTAACATTGTTGATTGTTATACTTTTGTTTTATTTCAAGTATCTAAGTGCATTCATGAAAACAAATTTGGTGCTTGGTTTGAGTAATACCTCATCTTAGATGGACTGGCCCATTATTATGGGTTCATCCATCAATGTTAGTACAATGACTATATCCCCATGTATGTGTTATTCGTGTGGATACACACCATGAGATGGTGATTGATCAACGGTTCAACGCACTACATTCTCTAAACAGAACAACAATGCAACGTGTAAGAAGACCATAGACAACAAACAAACCACTCGCCTTGGATTCCTCAGACTAAAATATCAAAAACAGTTCATCACTTCTATTTCCTCACAAGATGTACTTCATCAAAATGTGTGTCACATTTTAATATATATGATTTTTTCGATATATATCTTTGGCTGCTAATATCTTCTAAATATATTCTTGAAATTATGCAAATTTATCAGATTTTTTAAGTATTTTTCAACACTATCTATATATAATAAATCTTGTATTTTTTTGAACTACATAATTTAGAATATTATCGATATTTGTAGTTTTAAAAGATTGACCAGCTCTTAAATGATATGGTTTTTTTTTTTTACCAAAGGGAGTACTCAGTTTTTTTATCATGCATATAGAAATAGAAGGCTTTTTTCAATAAATAAATAGAAGGCTTCTCTAAAAGTAAGTGTTCTACAATTGAGAAACTGATGATGCACTCTTGTTTCTTCTAAGGCGAATGATGACTTTGTTTGACATCCCAACACCTAATCATTTCATTTCATTGCGATTGCGAGACTGTGGTTTGAGTAGGCATTAAGTCGTCCTCTGAACTTTTGTTCGCCCCAAGGCCGTAAAATATCGTGATCATGAAACCCATGCTACAATAGAGTAGTCTACTGGTCTACGTACAATACAAGTCTACAACGTGCTCGATTTGCTCATGATTTCAACTGAACTACTGAAGCCCCAAGCTAGCTTGGGCCATGTTTAGTTGTCCCAAATTCCAGAATTTGGTCTTGTATCTGCAAAAAAGAAGATTTCCGCATCACTTGCGGTACGTCTTAAATGTTGATGAAATAAAAACTAATTGCATTTTTGTTGTCTCAGATGAACGTTTTGAGCCTAATTAGTCAACGATTGGACAATTATTACCAAATAAAAACAAAATGTTACAGTGTAGCTACAGTGTCCATTTTTCAGACGGCGCCGAATCAGGCAGCGAACTAAACGCGGCCTTGTTACTGAAGCCCCAAACTAGCTTGTCTGGTTATACATTCGTTTTAGCTTCCCAAGCTCCAGGTGTGTCATCACTTTCTCGAAATAAATCTTTCAAAAGAGAAGAAGACAAAGACATTGACATGGCAGCAGGCGATGGGCCTAGATAGGATGGATAACCAGACATGGATAAGGCGGTCGTTTTCGCGCTGAAAAGGGGAGAGCCAGTGAGCCAACACTCCACAAGCCCTGAGCCGATGCGATGCCGCCACACCACCTCCACCTCCACCTCATTCAGCGAGCGGCAACGAGACCACGTCAGTCACAAAGCCTGGCCGAGACTCGCCAGCCGCCGTCGCCGTCCCCCACCCATGTTCCGCGCACGGCGCAGGCGAGACCAATCTGGAGCCAAAACACACTGGTGGCTCTCGATTTCGATCCACCGCATCAGCATAAAAAAGGAAGAGAAGGACCTTCCATTTGATCATGTTATCAGGTTTCGGTTGAGAACATTATGGCCCTATTCACTTGTCTTATGAGCCGTACTATTTTAACGAATGAACAGTGTTTTTTTCTCACAACAGCTATGGGTTTTCAGCAAAGCGAACAGGGCCATTGCTGGCTGCAAGAACATGGCCGAGAGACGACCATGGTTCTTCAATGCGACAATTTTTTCTGCCCTGGAGTTTCAGACGGTCAATGGCGCACGTGTTCAGATACTTAGCAACTAGGGATCTTCATCTCCTACATCTAGGTTCTAGCCAGATGCTGGGCTCAGGTTTCGGTCGAGCCGTCGAGGTCCTCGGGTTTTCATGGGATGCAGTGAAGGTTCCTTGATTCCTTCCACCTGCTGCATGTGAAAATCTCTACTTTTCTTTTTATCTCGGAAAAAAGAGCTTCCATTAAACCGTTGGCTCTAGGCATGTCGCCGGAGACCAGATGAGTTACAATGTGTGGATGTATTGATCGGTTTGTATACTTGCTGGGATCCAAATGTTATCTACATCCCTTTTGAAAAGGTCAAAGATTTGATATGGAAAAAGAATCGATTCGTACAGATCAATTGACATTTTCTAATACAAGTTATCTGAATCTCCATTTGTGTTCTTGATTTTTATACCCAGCTCACGAGCCAAATGAGCTAGCTCGAGCTGATAAACAAGCCGATCCAAGTTGGCCCTCTAGCTCGCTAAGCTAACGAACCAAGCCGAACTGAGTCGAGTTGGCTCGATATCCACCCCTATCCATCTTGAAGATAATATGATTCACTAGTGATTTGCGCGCGCCCATGCGCGCGAGTGATGGCCGTAGTTCTATTTGGCAAATGGAATAACACGTGTTATAGAAAGCATGTACACAACCGTGGATTTTTTTTTGTTTTGAAACACACATATAAGGCATCTTTCATGGGAAATAAAATACTCATAGCTGTAATCTGAAGAACAGACTTGCATAGTTCAGAACACTGAAAGATAGCAGTTGCACGGACACGTACATGGTTGCTTGGCATGCAGCCATTTCTCCAGGGGAATAGTAACAAAAGAGAAGAAAATACATAGTTGGCTACATAATGGCAACACTATTCAACAGTCGCTGGGGCATATGTTCTCTTTGGCCGAAGTCTGCTTTAGTTTGGGAAGCATGGCGCTGTCCAAGACTGGATCTTCAAGAAGAGACAACAGCTCACCACGGAGGTTCACCAAGGAGGTTCACCAAGGACTATAGCCTGCAGAGAATCGATCGGATCCGGCTTGTCGGGCATGTAAGTGATTTTCGACTTTTCAACGATGAAGCGGTGGAACAGCGGTCGAACTTTCCTGGCAGACCGAATCAAAGAAGGTCAGGGAGCCACGGAGTGCTGCATCTTTTGCCTTGATGTTGTTCTTCAGTTTAGTCGCCTCATCTTCAAACAACATGGACCATGAGGTAGAGCAAAAAGGTCTTCTCTGAGTTCAGAAACATGTGCGGCGTTGTAGTCATCAATTTTCACCATTTTTCGTTTTCAGGGTAATTTAGTGCAGCGTGATCGATAGTTTTTTGTGTTTGCCAAATTTCCAGAAAATTCTTTTGTTTCCTTGTCATAGGATTCTCTAAGCCAGTATATTGCCAATCTTGAGACATGGTATGCACCTCGTCCAAAGATGTTCACGTGGAGCTGCAATACACAATTTGGTCAACAACTTAGGAAAGCTATAACAATGGCTTGGTCAAGGAAATCTGCTACAAGAAGCCAATGTTTGAACTCCATTGTGATGCAATGCTATCGTGGAAGGGGACACTCAAATTTAATACCAAGACGTTGCCATAAAAATACAACAGTTGATGTCCCACTGAAGCAACAGTTATAGACACAAATAAATTGCAGGACATGGAAGCAAAGTTCATGGCTATAAATCTGTCATTGGGGTTGCAAAGGGGGAAGGAAAAATGTATAAGGTGAGCAATGGCACCTGATGCCCCACTGATTTTCACTAATTTGCTCAAATACAGGTACCTGCAAATGGAGACTTATTATCAAATAAGCAGTAGTGGTAGAAAAAGCTAGCTACACTGCATACTGATAATTACTCTTGAAGCTCAGAGAAGATACCAGACATGTCAGGCTACAT